GCCAGCCGCCAGCCACCCTTCCCTTGCAGGAGGAGGCGTGCGGCCAAGGCGTACCTTTGTTGGTGGTTTGGATGGATTTGGAGTTGAACCCTGGTTCTGGGCTAACGGGAAACCACCCCTTTCCCACCAACGCACGAATCCAAACCACCCATTGGAGGGAAGCTGAGGTGTTGTTGTTAGTCCGATGTTCCCCAATCCGATTTTCCAGATTGTTGTTTAAGGGAACCACTGCAAGGTCGACCGTTGGGATTGATGCTTACCTATGCCCATGAAGGACCTGTGCATAGACATCTTGATCGTTTGTTGGTGAATTAGCATTCCTCACCCAACTCAATACACATGGCATGCCTGAAAACACCATGCATCCACGGGCCATAGGGCCATAGGGATCCCCTTCAAAGGCATCGTCAGCCTTCCATTCGATTGCGCGTGAAAGCAAGCCCAACCCATGCTACCCTGAGACCTGCCACCGTCAGCGAGGTAAGAGAACATCTGAAACACCACAAGACACAACTGAGACAGTGAAACGAAAATGAAACGGACCCAGCTGCACAAATGATCAAGGGCACTTGGCTGCTCCCCAAAATTGCCCTGCAAAAAGCTCCCAGTTGTTCAGTTGCCCCTTAAAGCTGCAAATCCTTTTGCCAGACGTGATCCACCCCAAAAAAGCATTTGTCCGATTCGTTGTCTGCCGAAATCGGGTCGCTGGGCTGTTGCAATTCTCAGAGAGCCTTTCTATCAACCCGCTACCACTACCCCCACTCCCGCCAGCAGAAAAAACAGCAAGAAAGAAAGGTCCCGAGCAGGGCCAGACAAAATGGGTTCAAGTAACCAGACCAAGGACAAAGTTTTACAGGCAACACATCCAGTGGCTTAAGCATATTTCGCATATGCTTTTACCAACCCTGCTCTGCATAGTTAGCTGATTAGCTGCTAGCCAGCCAGTAACAGCTGCGACTCGATGGCGTCAGTCGGAGTTGTGCATGTGAAACATAGGGGAGCCCAAAGTGTGTGTAGTTTCTTCTGTTTGCCTTGGCACAGCTCCAACTGGGGCCCTGCTATGTTTGTCAGACAGCCCTTTGTCCGTTCAGGTCTCGCACAAGGACTACGACTGCCAAAATGGCCTTCAGGAATGGCGGCCACTTGCTTGAATGCCCATTTGGATGTGTAACCTTCCAAAATAGCTGGGGCGTCCTTTTGGTTTCCCTTCAAAACCACAAACAAAAGGCGAAAATCATGCTGACTTCCCGAGTTTGCAACACAACAGGTCGACACTTGTTGCCAAACTCGTCTTCTCAAGTGGCCCCAGTCCAAACCCTGAAGCCCGACCGGACCGTCGGGATGAAAGAGGGACGACCTTGGGACCTGGTTCGGCCAATGACCAAATGCGCGTCACCAAACGAAGCATCCCTCGGACCAGATCAATTGAACCCCCCCACTTGCCAAAGAAATGTCAATCACTTCCATTTTTGGGTTTTCCTTTTGGCTTCCCTCGAAGCCGTAAACCGTCAACCAAAAAAAGCACAAACGAGGTACTAACTCAAAACACAACACAGCCATGTTGCAGACCCTACAACACAGGATCTAAGTGTCCGCCATGTCGGGGCTTTGCAGCGCGAAGCCTCAGGCTTTGCGCCCATTTTGCGTCAAAGAAGATGTACCCATTTGGTGCCATCCCTTGAGAAAGGGGACCTGGCAATATTGGAGCGTTGGACATGTCCCCATGTACTCGCAGAGTGCGAGACGAACTTTGCTTTGTGGTCATGCTCACGTTATGACGTTTTGACCTTCTGTTTTGCCAGTCTCTCGCCTCTTGTTGCCTTGAAACTTGTTGGGAAGATTGTATGTTCTACTTATAAAGTCTGCACTTGTTCCGACCAGCACTCAGAAAGTGTGGTATTGTTCCGCCTTGAGAGCCTTTGACTATAAACGTCTTGTTTCCAGGTGAGTATGCCATGGAGCCTTTGGGACTGGCAGTCCCTTGACTGAGGCTGAGGCGACTGAACTGAGGTTTCCTTCTTGATTTTCCGGCCAGACCCTTCGAACAGTTTGTCCCTGGTGTATTCAGATTTTCTCATCTTAAGGTTCACTAAATACGGGCACGAATCGGAATCTCTGCTTTTAGTTGGCAACAGGTAGTCTTTCCTACATCCCCTCTACGGGATCTCGTCCCGTCGAAGCTGAGGTTCGATTGGTCCAAGGAGAAGACCCAATCCTGCAGCCTGATCAGCGCACGGTGCTGAGTGCTTACGAGAAACTGCCTTGCCTTTTTGCTGGGGTCCCTACCTGGAAAATCCGGTCATAAGCCCCCCTAAGAGGAGTCGACCTTGATTTACTGGCTATAATTCAGGTGCCTGACTACTTGCTAACCTGTCCGAATATCCAACCATATTTCTATTTTCAGCCCCTCCTAAACCGGGGTCCCTTCATGGATACATCTGTGCTTGTTGAGGCACCACCTTTACCAGCTGTTTTGTTTGAGGATGACGTTGCAAAGCAGGTGGTTTTGGGACGTATCCTGCACACATCCCTCTTAAACATCACACACAGGGGACACTTTTGGAAGACTTTCCGTTTCCTTGTAGCAGTTTCAGATGGATCCTCGTGTTCCGACGAATTGGCAAAAGTGTGGAGGCTTCGCGTAGGATCATTTTGCTCCGCCGGGGTTTGTGTGCACCCGTGGCGGCCCCGCTCTGATTTGGCGCCCTTGCAGCTCAGCAAGCGTTGGAGGCCTTTGACAAGACAGAGGGAAACACGATGTTGCAGGGTGTTTCCTGTGTAGGCAAGGCTTTGACCAAACAACAAGGTAGATATAGGATTGGCATCTGCTTTCCTTCTGAATGGGCAACTGTCCAAGGGCCCAAGAATGAACACCTTGGCCCAGGCTTTTGCATTTCCCGGCCACTTGGGGCGAGGGCCGGCCAGCCCTCACGACGCAGGCCTCTCAGCTGCAGCAGGCGATGAAGCCTTTGCCAGCGGATCAGGCGGGGAAGGGCTCCAGAGTCTCGAATCACTCCGTGAGTTGGACTTGAGCCGGTTTTTAGGGGGTTTTAGCGGGTTTTTTTATGGTTTTTACGGGTTTTTACGGGCTTTTTATGGTTTTTAGGGTTCGCAGGGGTCGTATGGTTTGTAGGGTTGCTAGGGCAAGCAGGTTTCTCACTCCCTGAGCTCCCGGACTTCACACCTAAAGCTTGGAGTGGCCCATCTCGGTCGGTGAGAGGAAGAACTTTGTGTGGCCAGTCCGCCCAGCAGCTGCATTTCTTAATGTTAAGGTTGTCAAGGTATGAAGCAGAATCGAACACCTTGTCTTGGTACACGCTGGAGTTGGGCAAACGAAGAACCGAAGAAACTGCTTTCTGTGGCCTTTTCAGGTTGCCCACTTCAGCCCGATCGATTCGGTACGTCAGGTAAGTGATTGGTAAGCCTGGTTCCAAGCCTCTTAAGCCACGGTTATAAGTCGAAGCTTGGGGCATTGTACGTCAGTAAGTGGGTAGTAACCATGGTTATAACCCACAAAACCCTCCGGTTATAAGTCTCCTAAGCGGCTAGAACCAGTTGCTTGCTCTCACTTGCCGGACGTACCCGATCGCCTCGATCGCCTCGATCGCCTCGATCGCCTCGATCGCCTCGATGGCACTGAGGTCCTGGCACTGGCGGACCAGAATGGAGATGGGGCCTGGCTCAAAGAGAGCCATCGGGTAACGGGCGGATCGCGGAGAGCGGGGAGATCCCAGGCTCACGGTGGATGCCCCCACCATATCGCAAGTAAACCAATCTTTCCCCAGAAAGTCATGGGGGAATTTGGGGTTGAACAAGAGGGGTTCCTTGTTACCTGCTGCATTGCGATGTGTTAGGCATCCACTCCTTTTGGAGGTTTTAAGCATCACCTTTTAGGGTCTCAAGTGAGTTTGTTTGTTTGGCAGGGTGATGTTTATATTGGGAGGCCTGCGTGAGAGCCGTTCGGCTCTGAATCAGACTGGAAGCATCCAAAACCCTCATTGGAACCATTTAGGTCGTACTGGCTTGATTTTCCAAAACCAGCAAGGCATACTGAGGCATACTGCGATGGTTGCAAAAAATCCGTGTTGTACCACCGTTCAGAAGCCGTGGAATGATTCGATTCCCCTATTAGATACCAACCAACGCTAGGGTTTCAACCATGTTTCCAAAGTTGCGAACAGATTTCACCACCATCCAGTATCAAGTCCTTTAAAGTAGCAAGGCTTGGTTTTCCAGCAGCGCGGCGTGCTTGAAGCAACAGAGGGGCAATGCCTGGTATTTAGGACTCCGCTCACGCATGTCAAAACCGTAAACCCCAGGGGTTCGAAGCCCATAAGAAGAATGGCAGTACACAATTTGGATGATGACAACCCTGCACAGTAAATCATGGATGGTGTTCGTCAATTTGTGTGAAGCCCCCATGCAATTTTATGGTGGTGAGTTATGTGAACCCAACCATTGTTTTAATGTTTGTATCGGAACCCCATGTTTTAATTGATAGTGTAACAGAACCCCAATATCCTCTACTCCTTCAATGGATGCCAAAAAGCATCGCTGTGAGCTTGGGCAACGGGAGCTTGAGCTGATGGCAGGGCTGGGTATTCAACGATGCGACAGTTCTGCATGCATGTGTGTAATTCAGCTTCTCCAATCTCATTTGGAACAGGCTGTATGCGTAGTTCAGCTTCTGCAACCTCATTTGGTGTGGCGCTGAAGTGTCATCCTGTCCGGATGCCTGGAGGCTGAGGATGAAAGTAGGCCGTGGTGGAATCCTTCTCGCTCCTCATTACTTGATGTCTGCCCTAGTATGTTTTGGTTGCCCCTGAATATCAGTGAGCGCCTTTTTCGTTGCCTTGCTGGGTCAAGACTGTCTGGACGCAACGGCGGAGAGAGCGAGAGAGAACGGAAACCCGGGGTATTTCATGCTCATTCTCCCCCCCCCACCCCACCCACAAAAAGAAGAAACACACGCGTTGGAGACATCAGGGTGTTGCCGCCAGATGGGGGCGGCCGGGTGCGGCGGAGTCTGTTTGTTTTGGTCTTGAGGCGGTGGACCGAGAGGAGTGGAACGCAGCGGCTGGCCACGCTGGAGGCGCGCGCTTAGCCTTGACAAACAAAGCAACAGAGAAAAAATGGCAGAAGGCAGGAGGGAAAGAAGGACGGAGCCAAGGAAGGAAGGAAGGAAAGGAAGGAAGGAAGGAGGGAAAAAACTCGTTGTAACCAAGCCACTCAGCAGGACCCTTGACCTGAGCAGTCTGGAGGGTTTCTCAAAAGTGCTTTTCGGAGGTGGTGCTCTGAAAACCACTCCACGGGATTGAGCTGAGCCCACGGTTTCTTCAGCCCAAAAACGCATGCTGACATCAGCTCAGGCAACAGCCCCTTCCAGCGCGCCATTATCGAGCCCCAGTCGGAATTCGTGGCGCCGGCTCGCTTGAGTTTTTTTTCCGGGCGAGTGCCTGGAGATTTGGTAGATATGTGAGCGGGGATCATTGGGATCCCCCCGGTCCCCCCACCCCCCCAATGGCTGTGAAATGGTTCGCTCAGCGACCTTCTTTGAGCTGTTCTGCTTAAGGTCCCGAATTGCCTTGTGATGTAATTGGACCCTCTTTTGGCCCGAGCCACCTTTGGCAAGCCCCTTTTGTTCTGGATACTAGCTTTTGTGCAGCAAAAAGAACCTCATATTCTTGACCAAGGTTCCAAACAAAAAAAGGAAAACCTTTTGTTCCCACGTTTGGCCGCATCCAGTTTCCGAAGTCTACCGCGCTGGCCAGGCATTTAAGTCCATGGACGTGAACCGGGACCGAGGGCGACAGGGCGAGGGCGAGAGGCTGTCTTAAAGGGCAAGCACCCCGGTTCCAAACTTGACGTCTACAAAGTCGGGCAATTTAACCTTGGTTTATACATCCACCAAGTTGGATGAATTTAATGCCCCTTTTAAGCCACCAAAAGAGGTGTACCCTCAAGAAGTGATTAAACACATGCCCAATGAATGTTGACCCGGATTGTGAACCAGTCCTATTATTTGGGGGGGTTCCTCCAAAACTGGTCTGAAGCCCGCTGAAAGGGGACACCTCCCCCCATCAAAATCAACAAGTCTATTAATACGAGGTTACTTTAACCATCTATTTACATCTATTGTCTCGACCACTGTCTAATCTGTAAACCCTGTTAATCCATAGGTTACATCTATTGTCTGTTAACGTATCACATAAACTTTCAGGTCACTTGGAGAGGACGAGATGCAATTGAGGGAATTTTTAGGTAGTGGCGTCCACTACCTGCAAGCCTTCCTTAAAATTACATCTGTCTAGGGCGGTAGCTGACATGTTCCTTGATTTTGGGGCATCCTGTCATTACGGCCATCCCAAAAAGGATTGAAACCCTGCAAACCTAACCTTCATTCCAAGGGATTTGGAGGACACGGGTTCAAGTTAGTGAGTCTTAGGTCTGTACCAAGTCAAGTCAATTTATGCCCGAAGGTTCCTTCCATGCTCATGATTCAGATGTAAGAATTTTGCATGGCTTTCTCGCGAATGAAAGGGGGAAAAACGAGCGAAGCGGTTCCGGGCCCTCAGGTGCCCCGCAGCTTACTTCGCAAGGCATCCCTTAGTCCGCGGTGAATTGTTGGTTTGCTGGTGTGTCTGTTTGGCTTGTGTTTCTCTCTCTTTCTTTTTTTTGGGGGGATGGGGGGGGGGGGTCCTCCTCAATTTTAGTCCCAAGGATGGCCCTGCAAGTTTGCGGAATGTGTTTTTCCCTGAAAGCTAGCATGGGGTTCCCTCTAGGGTTGCTAGGGAAACTTGAAGGAAAGCGTGCCAGCTTGGGAGGCCCACTTGGCAAGCCCAAGTCTTTGAGCCCTCGGTCCTTTGGTCAAAGCCGGGCACTTCTTGTCGTCCCACCGAGCGCCGGCGCTGCACTCAGCGGCCCAACCCAGGTGCTCAATCGTATGCAGGCCCCTTCTTTTGCGGGGTTCATCGCAACGGCTCCGCACTTGTCTTGTGGTAGTTGCTCCTTAAAGGGACCCCGGGACCCCAGACACAGAAATACTGAAGGGTCGACCTGTCACGTTCACCCAACGCCCTCAAGCTCAAGGGAATCCATCAGGGAATCCATGGGAAATCCGGCGAAGAACGGCGTTCCCAGACAAAGTTGAGTCTTACGTAGGCCGAAGTCTGTTGCAGGTGTTGTGGTTGGGGGACCGCGGGGCCTCCAAAGCAAGGTACAGTACCCACAAGAACCAAGCGGATTACGCGTGTTTCCCAGTTCCTACGGACGAGGGACTGGGTGCCGTAAGGTGAGCATGTTGAGGGGCACTCAAAATTAGTTGGTTGCCATTCAATCCGCCATTTCTTCTTCCTGCGTTCCTGGACTTTATTCTTTGGGGCAGGCCATTTTAGTGGCAACCAACAAGTTGGGGGTTGTTTTGGCCCATCAACTCGATCGGAAGTGAGCTTTAGATCATGTTGATGGCAATTGACTGTACCCACACTTAAAGGGCATTGTACTTAGTAAGTGGGTAACAACCATAGGGTTACAATTGGAAGTCTCCGTTCAGTGGGTTATAGCCAGGCTTACTCTGAGCACTTACCTGACGTTCCCTGCCCCGTTAAGCGCAGAGTGGCTTTCTGCGAAGAAAATTCCATCCACCGCCATGGTGGGCCAGCGGCTCTCCAAATACATCGCCAGCTGGGGGCTAGAGCCACAGGACGTGCCCAAAGTGATTACCACCTTTCTGGGCGCCAAGCGACTCGGTTCCCTCACTGGATGAAAGCGGCAACGTCATAGAGATGGCCTAGGTTTTGGTATTTTGCTTCCCGCACTCCAGAACGCATAGTGTCACAGGGATGGCCTAGAAATGGTGGTATTGCGGATTGATACACGTTCCACCATGTTCTGGAGTTTTGGTGATGAAAGGGCACCTCACCCTGCGGTCTTGGACTGTTGAACTATTGAGGAAGACTATTTTGGCTCTTTTGGCAAATCTACTCAGGAAATGAGTTCCTGCTAGTTCGTTTCCCCAGCAAATATTTGAATTGTGTCAAGCGGAATTGCCGCGAAGCTCGAATGGCCAAGCGCCACCTAACTGGGACATGTGGACTGGGACTATTGTTTCCTCAGGGTTGCCCCTTTGGCGTTGGAAGATGGACAATAATAATAAAAATATATTTAAGTATCTCGGTCGCGCATTGGTGGGTTCCCTTTGCTTTGACCCTTTTCCAGGGCCAACGTTGCTACCCTGAGCTCCACCTCCGAGCCGCGAATGCTACGCTTGGTTTGGCCAGGTGCATGGATACCAGGAATCAACTTTTGTGCGCTTTCCCGAAGGGTCAATCGCCACCAAGGCTTTATGATTCATGCCATGCGAGGGATCATCAAGTGTTCAATGTTCAAAGTGCGAGGCCAGGTCATGTTTGGTGGAAGAATTCAAGCAGTATCGTTGTGCTTTGTTTGTTTGCCCGCATGCCAGCGATTCAATCTTCAAAGCTGAGTCAGGACAACATTCGCATTTTTTCATGCGACTGAAAGTGGAACAACCAATGGCACAGTTTAACAACTACGGCCTGACTCCAATGGTGAAAACGAGGCAACTCTACTTAAAGAGGCATGGTACTTAGTAAGTGCAGGCAATAACCATGGGCCTCACCTGATGTACGGAAACGATCGCGATCGCTCTTTAAGTATTGTACATGTTACTGGGCTGTCCGGTTTCAGCCATCCCCTTACCTTCTCGGATGTTTTTAGTTGATTTAGCGGTAGTTTCCAATTATTAGGGACTTTCAGGGGATCTGAGAGGAGTACATGAGGGCAGCCCAAGGTATGTAACGCTTTGCGTCTTCGTCGGTGTGGGCGCCGCCTTCCAGCCATTACGCCGCATCTTCCCGCGGCAGCAGGCGATGGGATTCCGGTTCCGGGGATCGGTTCGGATCACCTCCCTGGTGTGGCGCTTGACAGGGTCTTGCCATGAGGACATTGGTCTTCCAGGTGCCCCACTGCCACAAATGCTCTCACCAATTTTGTGTGAGACACTCACTTTTCAGAGGATGACACTTCCATGGACCAAATGCTTGATCTTTCTGGGATCCGCCGGGTTTCCCCCGAGGGAAACAAGGAGCCCGAGCCGAGTTTTTCGCGCAGGTGTCCAGCGCCTGGTACCAAGTCCGTGCTTGGGCGGCGGAGCAGCGGCGGCGCAAGGAGCTGCAGACGAAGCATCTCGACGTTTTAGCCGAAGAAAGACCCTGGCGTCTCCAACACGCTTTTGGCTTTTTAAGGGAAGGACGAACATGTTATACCCTGGGGCTCTTTTTTACCACCATTACAACAAATGGATGTTTTTTGGTTTGTTGGGGGGGGATTGTTTGTAAGGGTTAGAACAAACATGTTCTACCCTGCGGTTCAGCTATAACCGTTGGGTCGTATAATCAATGTTTTACCGTTGGGTTCGTATAACAGCACCCCTGCTGGTAAAGCGCGCTAAAGCATGATAAAGGCCCTTTACTAGTGTTTATCTTTGCATATTGTCCGTTTTGGGATGCAGAGCAGTTTGTGCAGCAACACATGTTTGCCACACAACCAGGTGGGGCGGGTGGTACATGTGGACTTCGGAGAAGTACTGGCGGCTCAGTGACAAGTTCCAGGCGTGGCTGATTCGTGTTTCAATCTTCCTGTGGTTGCCAAGGGCCCCCCAAAGAAGGACGGCCGAACCCCGCACGTGACGTGTCCTTTTCGGTGATTCAATTCTTCGAGGGCCCCCAAGTGCACCAGCACTCAAACCAAATCCCTTTTGGTTTGACGAGCAGAGGCTGCCCTTGAAAGGTGCCACTGAAAAAAGAACAAGTCCATTGGCCAGATGCATGTGGAAATGAGCCCAATGAATATACCCCAGCAGCTCGGGAAGCTTCCTGAAACCTTCCAGGAACGAATGTAACTTTTGTCAACCAAACCCTCCCTCGTTTCACTTGTTCAAAGTGAGTCGACCTGACGTGAGCTGTTGGCCTTCGCTCTTTGGCAAGAAGCAACCTATTTAATTGGCCAACTTGATGGGGGTAGGTGTCTTCTCAATAGTTACCCTCCCACCAACTAACATGGAACCAGGGGGTCCCTTTAAATGGAGAACGGTCTTCCAGAACCACCCTGTCAGGTTCCATGTTAATTGATGGGAGGGTAATAGTTGTCACGTTTTTTGGCCGGCCACCTGAGCAATTGTTTCATGCAAAGGTTCTGATATGCGAGCACCTATGCATTGTTCGACCGAATGTTCAGTGGGGAGCCTAAAAAGGGATTGACGCGTTACCAGCCAGCCTGAAGATGGCGGTTTGAGGTTTGGTCACGGCATGTGGGACTCCCATGCCCGGTAGGGGAACTGCAAATGGGTGACTCGTCTTTGGAGGGACGCTCTTTTGGGGTTGCCTGAAAGAAGGGAAGCGTACAGGGTTGTGGTATCACTCAGGGTTCATTCCCACTTTCTGTGATACAAGGCAATCTCCCCCTTCAAAGGGGGTGTTCGTGTTTTAAAGAAGCCCTTTTTGTTGCATCACGGTGGTATTTTCCCACGGCTCTAGGGGTACCTTCCCCATTCTTTCCAGGGATCCTTCTTTCTATAACCTCCGGAAACCCAGGGCAAACGGCCGGTTTTTGGAAAGTACGATGGTTGAAAAGCATGAAAAATCAACCCCGAGGAACGGTCGGCCCATAGGACACCGGTGCATTTCTGCGGGTTTGAGACGGGTTCCAATCGGTCCGCCAGGCCTCCTTGGACCGCAGCAAGCTCTGGCAGCACTTCGCACAGCGCTTGGGGAGCCGCAACCCCCGGGCCCTGGCACCTCGCCCGAATGATGCGGCGGGATCGGTGGGATGTGGTCCGTTTGCTTGAGGTAGCCTCCCACTTCTTTGTTTTTTGCATGGAACCTGACGTTCTGATTCCGGGGTCCCTTTACAGGAACATGGTCTTCCAGGACGTGTTCCCCTGTCAGGTTCCATGCCATGGTTCCATGCCAATTGGTGGGAGGGGAATGTATTTAGGGCTGGTTTGGCTTGACCTGTGTTGCTTTGTTTTGGTTTTGCCCCTAGATCCCCAAGTGCCCGTCTAAAGCCGTACAGTCTTAGGAGGTACTTATAGCAAGAGGGAGCCCTACAACCCTCTTTCCTACCCCATCAGCCAGACCCGCCCCCCAAGATTTTATAAAATTTCATACCAATCACCCATATCAAAACCCATATAAGTTTCATAACACGTGCCTAACCAACCTCATAATCAAAATGCTTTGAGTTATTCATTTTATAGAATAACTTAAACCATTTCAAACATCCTTAACCTCATTCTTTTCTAAATTTTCTATGTGCTTCCTTGCTCGTTCGTGCCGTGCCTTGTGCTTTAATTTAATCTCACAATCACATACAGAACAATGATATTCTCTCTGTCCGTATTCTTTGTTTATTTCTCGTATTTCTTCCTTATGGTTGTCTCGGTATGTTTTTGAATATACTATTTGCTTGTCTCGGCACTTATCACAAGTTTTATGATTATCTGAAAATAATTCAATCTTTCTATGAACTCGGCAATGAGAACAACATTGTTTTTCCCCTTCATCTGCTACTGTTTCTTTCTTAATCGCTTCTCTTTTCAATTTCTTTATTTCTGACTTCCTTCTTTGCTTTTCACGGCATTTATCACAAGTTTTACAATTATCTGAAAATAAACTGTAATTCTTATAGCGTCCACACCCCGAGCAATATGTCTTATCCATAATCTTCTACTATAATAAGCCACTTACCCTTTAAACCGTTTTTAGGCAAAATGCTTACCGAAGTGGGTTGAAGTCCCCTTATCCAAAAACCCCCAACAACAAAGAGCATAACCAAAAAACCAAACAAGGAACAGAACACAGAACATTCCAAAACAACCAACCAACGAAACATTCCAAAGAACTTTTCAAAGAACCTAAACAAAACCTCAAACAAGAACAGCCCCCCTAAATCAAAAGTCCGAAAAACAACATGTTTAAGATAATTAGTAATTATCTTAACAATGGATTTGTTCTGTTATTCAAACATTTTCTTTCAAGATTAATCTGAAACCAAATGATTGTATGCCAAAATAGTAAAAAGTATCGTTTTGGTTTTGAATGATATTCTTCAACTTTTTGACTGCTCCGTTCAACACTTTGTTAATATTGTTTTCGTTTATAGTTTCATAATCATCATCATCGCTATTCAATTCATTAGAACAGAAACTTATGCTTAAACTTAAAAACATGCCTTCTTTATATTTGCGTTCTTTATGTCTTACTCTTATATCTAAAAATACATCTAATTTGGATTGATAGTCAGTGTTATGTTCTACTTCTTCATAGATTAAACTTAATATTTCCTCCTTTTGTTTGTTGATAATACTTTCAATGCTGTCCATTCCAAATGGCACTCTTCTTTCAATATCATATTCCCTTTTAACTTGTTTCTCTGTTCCTCCACCATTTAATTTTAGGTATTTGTATATTGTTTGTGGTTCAGTTGTTGTAATTTTGTAATTGTTTTGTATTCTCTTCAATGCTTCAATATGGCAACTTTTTATTTTTATATACTCAGGTTTGCCAAATTTAAAGGCATTAATATTACTCAATACTTCAACAGGTAAATTACTAATATCGCTCATATCTCTCTTAATATATATAGGCAATATGTCTTTAAACCCTTTTTAGTCTAAAACTATAATTTTAACATCTCATGCCTCAATAAGGGTTTATGAAAATCACTGACATTGTAATACTTCTGACCTAATTTAGTTTCTATTTTAGTTACGGTGTGAATAGTTTTCAAATAATGACTCGTCCGTTCTTTTTCACTAATTCCTTTTTTCCTCATAATCTTAACCTTATCTCCAATATCTAAATCAGGATACACACGGGTTTTTCTGGCATTCATTGATATATTCAGTTTGACTTCAAACTCATTCTTTTTCTTCCTTGCTTCTAATGGTGTCATTTTCGTAATAGAACTTACCAATTTATTATTATAAGTTAATAAGATTTCCAATATGTAGTCAGTCCATTGAATATTATTTTTACCTTTCTTCTCATCGGCATCAACTCTTTTGAAAAGCATATCTTTAAATGTCCTTATGAAACGTTCTCCGAAAGCAGGGTGCCCCCGTGTAGTGTGTAATTCAATTTTCTCTTCCTTCAAATAATCTGTAATGGTAGAACTAAACAGACTGCCTTCTTCGTCGCTGTATATTAATTTAGGTTTGCCATCCATCTTTTTTAATCCTTCCATTATTCCAGCTAATACATCAGCAGGTTGCTTACTTTTAATAGGTATAACAGTAGCATATTTACTGAATATATCAACTAATATTAATCCAACTCTAAACTTTTGATTATCCAAATCATTTTTTGAAATGAAAAACAAATCCAACTGGAATTCCCAAAAGGCATGAGGAGCAACAAAACTATTCTGTCCTCTTGGTTTTCTTTTCTCTTCAATATTATTTTTAAAGAATTCATTTACATCACTCATAGTAATTGTTTTGTCCTTCCTTCTTGCATCTTGTAAAGTTATTGCTTTGCTTCCATATCCGCTTTTGTCATAGTAAATATCACTAATTATTTTTTGTTTATCCATATAATAAATTAAGATTTATTATATTGATAATATTATTTATAATTTAAGTTCAGGATAATAATTTAATTGATGACTATTAAACTGTTGATACATCTTACCCCTTTCAAACATCATTTTAATAATAATATTAATGTCTCTCACTGTATTTTTAACATTAAACTTTTTACGTTCAATATATGTTTTTACATCTTCTTTTAAATCAAAGCCTGTCCTTCTATGATATAATAGCATCCATAATACACTGTTAATCATGTCATACTTTTTCTTACTGATTTTAAGAAATGCTCTAACATAACTATAAGGTGGTCTTTCATACACAGTTAAAAATATTATAATGTCATCTTCAACATTTGTTTTAAGAAACCTTTTATGGTTCAAATGACATTTGATTAATTCTTGATAAAACCTCCAATTTTTACAAATTCTACATTTTTCTTCGTCCAAAGCATAATCAATAATATTATTGATTATTCCATTAGGTAAATTTAATTTGTATAGTTCCATATTCTCTTTTTTGAAATGGCAACAGTCATAGCATTTCTTATTAATATAATCATTCACTTCTTGTTCCTTCATTACTCTCTACTATATATAGGTATTATGTCTTTAAGCCCTTTTTAGTCTAAAACTAAGATTTTAAAATAAAAATCTTAAAATCTTAATGTGCTGAAACATTACAATAGTAGCAATAACCGACGCAATTATCTATTTCATGGCTTGTATCATTACAAAGCCTTTGTGCGGTAAAATTACTACACAATTTACCTTGTTTAGTTTCAAAGTTAAATGGAGTATTACACTTCTGGCATCTGTTCTTGAAATTATCCAAGCACCATTCGGCAGTTATGTATTCCTCTTCATTGATTTCTCTCTTTGCTTTCCTATCCTGTATTTTATAATTTTCTACTTTATTCTTAAAATATCTCATTATCATATTTTTATTCAATTGCTTTTCAAAGTCATCATTCTTGAAAAATCTGACTTTTCTGAAATCAACGCACCTTGTAATAGAAGTCCAAAGCCACTCACGATTTACAAATGGTAAATTCCATTCATGAATTGTCATGCTTTCTTTCACACTTGCACCCTGTGAAGAATGGCATGTTGCACAATATGAATAAATGAAATTAGCATCTACAATAGGTTCAAACAACATAAATTTATCTTCTTCCCTTGCTATATTTTGTAATGTGATTTGTTTTCCTAATTCATCATCTTGTATATGTGTAATCCTGTATCTCAAATTTACATTCACCCTCGGCTTTTGTATCCATTTTCTGGCAATCAGAATATCACCTACTACATATTTGGCATTTATGTTTAATCTGTCTCTGATTTCACTTGCTACATTTCTACACCTAATATTAGTATAAGCGATGTTATGCTCTGATGCCATTATATCATTAGTTATTTCAAAATATTTAGGTATTATTTCATTGATAGGCAGGTTCTTTTCCCAGAAGTCATCATACATATCATTAATTATCTTCCTGTTCATGTCTCCTTCAACGCTGTCTTTTGCACCTACTCTCTTACATACTGTTAAAAAGATATTGTATTTAAAAATTGTATCTAAGCAATTATCCATATATGTCGCTGGGTCTTGGCAGTTGGTCATTGCTTCCACCCCTTGCAACTGCTTTACATCACCGGTAGCAACTACAATTTTATCAGGATTATTTTGAATAAATAACCTTACTTTATTAAGAACATACAAATTTGACATATAGATTTCATCAAATACAATTACATCAAAGGGCGAGTAATCATACTGTGGCAATTTCTCTCCGACATCTTCATGAACGGCAATGCTAAAAAACTTATTGTAAGTGGTGGCTTCTACTTCTTTTTCTTGTAAAAGCCGGTTAGTTGGAACTACAAATAAAACATTCTTATTCATCTTTTGAAAGTATTCGCCAATATAACTTTTGCCTGTGCCCGGGAATTTACCTTTTATAATCACTGGGTTTTGTTTAATAATCTTCTTACATATTTCTTCTGTATTCCATTCATCTTGAACATCAATATTGAAATTTCTGATTTTAGGTATTTCCGGAACTTCATTATATTTATATGTATATGAGTTGGTAGGTAGTTGGATATGTTTTTTATCTTCTATCCTCCAATCGCCTATCTCATTACCACATTTCAGCAGTCCATTGCTTCTTCCAAATAATTGAAAACGAAAAACTTTATCTA